CTTTACCAGCTTCTAGCTCTATAGCGCGTGGGCTGCACGAGTTGGCACTAGTTGTAATAGATTTCTTGGGATGGATTTGTATATATTTCGCTAAAATTGCACCTATTCTGAAAAACTCGAAGTTGGTGTGTCTTGTGAAAAGATATATAAGATAGTACATATTTAATTATTTTTATCTTTCTCTATTATGTTATAACATTATTAAGTTATATAGATAGCGTTAAAGATAAATAAAGTTGGTAGAGCAGACGACTCGCTTATAAAACACGTTACTGTAACGGCGCAGGCAAGACTACTCGGATCAGTATCGGCGGTAGTGTCACTCAGAGGCATATGGGAGTGCGTGGGACATCAAACGAGCCTTAATTCGAATAGACACCTATAGGCCTTGTACGAAAGGATATCAAAAATCTATCGAGCTACGGTATGGAGAAGGTGGGGTTTTATATCAGCAGATCTGCCCTCGGCTAGTGCGTGCCCATGTTCGGATCCCTTTCGGATGTTAGTTCAGTGTGTACTCGAACCGTTACACTACCCCCCCCTCTATTGACAGCTAGTCCCGTAGCTGTTGAAAAATTTTCAATGTTTGTTTGTTTGTCTGTTTGCTTGATGTCGTCATCCTTCTATGCAGGGTCTCGGCCAGGCCCCGAACAGCCTCCGGGCCAAGGAGAATCCACTCAGCACGTGATATTAAATCCGTTTGCTCACTGAGTATATTAACAGCACGCGTCCATACTTGCTGTCACCAAAACACCAAAAAAATTCTACTCCTCCCACACATATACATACACACATCATGCCGTTGCGTTGCCCTGCTGGCGCGCTTCCGGAGGCGTACCGCCTCATCTGTCTTCGTTCAGTTCGTGCCTTTGCGCGCGGAGTCCACAATGTGGACTACCGTTTCGGTGCCGCGGGGTCCAAGAAGTGCAATTATTGCACTCAGCAGAAGGAGAAGTGCTCCCCTGTAAGTTTTTCAAATCCTTCCAATTGTAAGACGTTACTAACTCTGATAGGTTCCGGAGTACGTCGAGGCCGAGTTCGCCGTTTTTCTCGCGGCGATGGACCTGGTGGCTGCTGCCCGCCATGGTGACGAGCCGGAGGACGACCGGTACGCTGCCAAGCAGCGTCTCGAGTCCGCCGCCCTGGATCTGGCTCGCCAGGTCCAGGTGACAAAGAGCCAGGAGAAGGAGTTGTCCGTGGTCGGGCTCCTCTCCGCCACGCACCAGGTGCTGGTGGAGATTCGGGATAGCCTGCGCCGGCTGGAGGGCCGTGTGGCGGCGGTGGAGGATGCCGTGGAGGCTGGTGGGACTTTTGTCCCAGACCCCATGGACATCAGTTCCGGGGGCGAGTCGGAGGAGGAGTCGGAGGGGGAGTCGGAGGGGGAGACAGAGGAAACTCTGTCAGTAGACCTCCGTGGTCTGGAGGATGGGGCAGGGGAGTCTTCTGACTCCCCCATTGATTAGGTGTTCGGTGTGGTGGGTGGTTGGTTGGGTCAGGTTTGTTTCTGGGGCGTTTCGGTTTTTGTTCTATACCCATTATGAAGGATTGTTTTTCTTTTCCCTATATTTGATCATCTTGCAGTGAAGTCATATCCTCTATGCCTTGCTCCCATGCCTGGATCCACTTTGATAAGGAACGGGGAGGTCCCGGTTTTGTTGGATTTTGGTCATGGAAGGTCTTGAGCTTATGGGGTGCCCCCATAAAGTTTGAGGCAGGGTACCAGGTAGGGTCCGGATCATGTCCGACCCACCTCACCCGATACTTAAGCTTCGAGCGATACACTTTACTAGCTAAGACTTCTTCAACTTCCCACTCTTCTACTCCTTGGATAGGGGTTCCTGACGGCTTGGGGGCTTCTTGTCCGGGTAAGGGATCTTGAGGGTCTTTGCAGAGTAATTCCGGAGCAAAGACGTCATGGATCCGGGACCCTTCCGGTAGCTGTAGGCGATAGGAATTTCCTACCTTTTCTAGCACCTTGAAAGGTCCCTCCCATTTATCGGATAACTTACGGCTGGGGCGACGCAGACAACTTCGAGTTTTCTAGAATAGGTGTAATTTTAGTCAAATATATATAAACCCCTCGCGAGAAATCGATTACAATCACCTTTAAAGCGT